AATGGAGGTCTTTGACGTCATTCTTGTTGCGTGTGCTCGCGCACACCGGCGGCTGCTGGCTCGTGGAAAAAACGTGCGCCACTTATTATGGACACTAAATTCCTAGGTTCAGTATTCCTTTAAATATAGGCCGAGGTGCCCGCAATCCGACGAAGGCCAATCTGAGATTTGGTTGCACGACAAAAGATCTCCAGTTAGTCAAAATAAACCCGCATTTTTTTTTATTGGGGTGTGTTAAGTGATTTTTGTTGGTTTGGCTTAAAAAGCCCTAAGATATGAACACTTGCTTTGCTTTGCCTTAGTTCGGGGCGCAGCCAACTCTACGGGCTGATGAAGCCACTGAAGCAGCGCCAAGAGCGTGAGGTCAGGCAGTTCGTTCTCTTTCTGTGCCTGTGCGGTCAAGCTAAACTAGAGCCACTAAATAAGCTAGCCTTCATACACATCTTGGTGCTTAAATGACGGTTGTCAGTTATCTGAAGCTTTACCTGAAATCTCAGGAAACGCGTTTCCGCCCTCCACAAATGTAGGAACAGTTCACGACAAAGGAAAGCAATATTACGTGCGCTTGCTGACACCGAAACTAATGCTGAGAAAGTCGCACTTTTGAATCATGACGATCGGCAGTTGCGTTTGATTTGTTACTAACCACAAAGATGGCGGCGCCCACAACAATTTCGGGGGAAAAAGAACAACCGCATCTCCACGTGGTGAATGATGTTGATTGGAGCGAAGCTCTGGTGGTGCTTGTCTGCGTAGACGCTGAGCCGCAGCATGCCGAGCCTTTTGTTCGTTTTCATTCATGTCACGCTGCGGTCAAATGCTCAAATGTGTATATAACCACGTTCCATACCACACGTTCTTTTTCTGACATGAATGAAAACGAACGAAAGGCTCGGCATGCTGTGGCTCACCGTCTACGCAGACAAGCACCACCGGAGCTTCGCCCCAATCAACATCATTCACCGCGTTGAGATGCGGTTGTTTTTTGCCCTACAGGAGCACGGGAGCACGTGCTCATGTGCTCGTGAGCACGGGAGCACGTGCTCATGTGCTCGTGAGCACGTGAGCGCGTGAGCTCACGAGCAGGAGCACGTGCACACGACGGCGGACGGACATACGGACATGGCTAGCCCCGTATCCACATGAAGGGGAACTCCGCGAACGGATGTCGTGACGTCAACACCCCGGTAAACTCCGTCCTCGGCTCCGCCACGTGCACCTGCGGAGCTTTCGTGCTGACAGCACGAAGCCTCCGCGCCTCCGCCACGGAGGAGAACGGGGAGAACGGCGCCGCGAGGCGTCAAAAAGGGATGACGTATGTCTCACGTGATGCGCGCTCCGCGGAGCAAAGGAGCGGATTTCTCCTTCGTGTGGATACCCCATAAGGAGCTTTGCCCCTAAAAGTGCCGATATTCTAAGCGTAGCTCATTTGGTTTAGCTTGCAGGCTAAACTAAGTGCGGGGGGTGGGGGGGGGGGGGGGGGGGGGGGATCGTTTGCCGAGTGTGTTGTGCCACGGCAGATCAGAGCGTGTAGAAAAATGCTGAGCGCGAGCTCCGTTCAAAGCACGGACCTCACGCTGCAGAGCCTGCGTGGACTAGGGTGCCTTCATGTGCGCTTTGCTTAGGGTGGTGGCATCTCGCCATTTTGTCCCACACGTTTATTTGTATTTTTTGTTCAGAAGCGCGTGAAAGAGCGTGCCCTTGCACGCGTTTGTGGCACTGACTGTGCTATGGCAACATTTTGTTTTCGTCGATTTCTTTGTATTTTTCCCGTGAGCGCGTGCTGTCGGCATCGGGTACTACAAAGAGTGGCATCACCCTAAACAGAAGGACATTGAGGCACCCTAGCGTGGACTAAATCCCCTCAATGTGTTTGCGTTGGTCTTTCAAGTATACCTCCAATGGCCAGTGCACGAGGCCCGTCTCTCGAGCGGACCTTGGAGGCAAATGGCGGCGCAGCACTGAAATGACTGGCCGTTGAAAGCGAATGGCGGCGGAGCACCCGCTCGTGGCACGTGTCTTGCGCGTTTCCACAACAATGGTTGGCGGTACTTGTAAAAAATGCCTTTATCAAGGTGCTTTAGCAGGGACCCTGGGTTCAGTTGCCCATCTACATCCTACCGTCGTGCGATCGCGTATCACGTATACTGCGTAATGCACGTTAAAGACCCCGAGCTAACAGTTGCACTGAACTTTTTATAATCTTCAACGGGTAACAATGTCGCCCTACGAAACTGCTTCTCTCTAAAAACTAATGACTAATTTTGAATGCACCGTTAGATTGCATTTTTAATGTGTGTTCGCGTTCTTTTTCTTCTTTTTTTTTGTCTACATCTTTGATTATGCGGCTCTTACTTACGAATATGATGAAACAGACTATAGTTGTTGGACTTCTGGAAAAATAATATATAACTAATAAAATAACGCGTGAACGCAAAAGACAAAAAAAAAAAAACACACACACAAAGGTGCACTTAATTAAATAATTGAAATGATATAATTGAACATAATTGTGTTTTCAAAGGTTTGAGCACACCAAAAGCTATAAAAGCGAGCTCGTTGCTTTGGATGGTGCGCTTGTTCACTGGAAGGGTAGTTCAAGACAGTATGCTCGCACTTGTATGTTTCGCTTCGTTCGCACGATAAAACAAAATAGTTTACTGGTAATGTATTTAGTGAAACAAAGCTTATTTTTTGTACATGTGCAGTGCCCTCAGTTTCCGCGTGATTGCATGCTTGTTTATCATTATTGTTTTCTTTTTCCACGGCGATTCATTTCGTACTCTTTTGTGTGCTACATGTATTAGGGACCAAGGTAACCCAGGAGCATTCTATTTAGCGGATTGTAAAAGAAACCTATGCAACTTGCCACGTGTGCCACAATGAATACAAAATATTCTAAGCTTCACATGTGACTGCTTGCCTGAGTATACATTATTGCCTGTCAAGAACAATTGCGATTGTATGAAATCACGTGGAAAAAACTTGTTCTAAGCACGCGACCGTTGGCATATAGTGAATGCTCATAATCGGCGCAGAGATGATTGGTAGCTGTCAGCAGTTGGAGTTTTTCTATCAACG